TATTCATTTTACGCTTTACTGCAAAGTTTTGCCAGCGATTTATGAATGGTCTTAAAAGTGAACTTAAGGGTAATTACGGATTGTTCAGTTTTGGCAGAGAAGCTAAACTTTGTTTGTTTTACGTCTACTTCATTATTTTATCTGTCGCTTTATACACTGAAAGTCTTCGAAAATTAAACTCGATTAAAAACAATTATACATTTATCTGTAAAAATTAAAAACATGCATTCATTACAACTGATTAACCAACGAATCTAACTGAAACAAAAAACAAATATCGAAAGCAAACCAAAAAAACAACAAACAAAAGTGTAGCTCATAGAAAGTGTGCAATATTACTTTAGAATTGATGGCTTTGACTCTAAACAAGCAATGGCGGCGATTAATTAATTAATCAACCATGATTAATTAATTACGCTTACTTGTGACTAGAGGATAGAAATTATCTTTTTTAGCACGATGACCGTGCAGCAGCGTTCTAAGATACCACGGCAGTACGCAAAGCACCAAAGCAGCCGTTAGGGCCACGCTGACGAAAAACAGGCAACGCCACAGGTAGCAGTCATAATCGCAGGGAATAGGACAAGAATATTCAGGAATTTTGACATTCATTGAAACTAACGATATAGCGAAGGTCTAGAAAAATAAGGATAAATAGATATGAAAATCCGTTATCGTATGACAAAAATATGATGATTGTTTCGCAAACGAAAAAACGGCTTTCCAAAGGAACAGTAAAGAGACTGTTAACTGTTAAGCAAAACAACCGAGTAATAATACCTTTCTTATGCACAGAACCTCAGTTCCGACTTTTGCAGTGAAATGTCATTTGAGGAAATGCCTGATTCGACGAAGCTAACTAACTCCAACAGGGAGACACGTTGGGAGAGGTATCGCTCACATTTCCATGATTTGTGATAATTATCGAAAGAGATTATGGCGGACGTTGATTTCTATCGGGCAGTGACTGCCTAATATCTACGGCTGGTGGCCACTACAGTGAACGGTGTCCTCTTTCCGATACAACGGTGCCTGACATGACCATAACTGTGTGTAAAAGAAGTTATCTTTCGGTAGTTACCACGCAAGCAACGAACAAGT